TAACAAAATATATTACTAGTATATCAATAAGTAATAACTGCATCTTTCATAGCAACGAAGTCGGAGGATATCCGTCTTCTCCGCTATAAAATGCTTAAACGAAATCATTTTAATAATAATTATTTATAATCTATCTATTCATATGAATATTTTGCTTTTGCAAACATTTATATTGAATATATTTTGATTTTACAAGTAATTACTATAACTGTATAAATATATTCAAACTAATTGTTAAAATCGCGATGTGCAAGAAGTCCTATCCTGATCTAATACATAAAAAATAATGTTACTAATCACGGATATAAAAAATATCCGGTCACTATGCTCATCAAAAATTCTACGTATACAACCAGTCACCCGTGCCGATTCGGACCTTTCGTCCTACGACATGATTGAGTGACCGGAGGAACATAAATGCATGCGACTCACGCGATAGATGCGAAGAATGTTGTCATCGATGCTGCACTGGAGCAGGGAAAGTTGTCGTGAAGACTCTCATCAGGTAAATACCACTGAGAAATATTTGTTTTTAAAAATATAATGTTATTTGTGAAAATTTAAATTTTAATAATGATAAAAATTGGGACTAATAATTTTAAATGCTTTTATTTTATAATTATAATTTTACATTCGATTTCAGTAGAAAGAAAACTATAGAGAATAAAATTTAAATGCAACGTGCTAAAGTACTTACGTTTTCAGCTTTTGAAGCATCATATGATTCTTGGAAGATTAGGGAAAGTGGAGACTGTAGAAGATCTGTAACGAAACATCAAACATTATACTCCGTTGTCAAATTTGAAAAATTGAGTAAATTAAAATACAATATATAACTTACGATCTTGATCTCCTGGAGAGGCCTTATCCTCTTGAGCACTCTGACTCTATATACCGAAAACGAACACTGAACAAGAAAAAATACAAAAAAAGAAAAATAAAAGAGTATCAACGCGCGCGTTTAAGTAATAATCGACGAACTCACTGACTCCAATTTCGCGAATTATAATTTGAATGAATTGATTGTTTAGTCTTGAGAGCCATTTTGCTCAGAAAAATATAAAAATACCTCGCAACAAACACTTCCGCAACAATGCTCTACCGCATTGCGCGCGGTCACTAAAATTTTCTGAAAATAAAGTTGGATTAGTTGGAGGAGGGCGAAGGATAAGTTCATTTAGAAAATACTGCTATTTTTCTAAAACATGATTGTGAACATGATGAAGAAACTTGAATATGTATTAAAAAAAGATATTAGTAAAGATATTAGTAAATTAATAAAGTATATCTCAATACTGAATATTGTAAATGAAAGATGAGTATTGTATTGTAAATTTTCATTATTAGAGTAAGAAGTATGCACATTAATAATATATCACGTCAAGTGTTATAAGTATTCAAAAATGTTTCACAAGTCAAATGTTTTTAAAAAATAACATTACGAAAAACGCGTAAGAAATTTTGCTTTGAATCATTTAATTACGCATCAATCGTTTGTGTGTACCTAAAATAAATGAAATGTTACCAAATTTCCGTCAAAGAATATCAGATTGTCCATTAAATAATCGTGGCGTCTGTGTTCTATCCTATCTCTGAAATCAAGGAATAACCTGCACAAAAAGAAACCAAAAGTTAGAACAAATATGTCAAATGAGGGCAAACTTGTAAAAATGAAACAATAATCACCTCAAATTCTACTAAAGAAATGTACGAGATAAGCTACCGGTAACACGTAAGCGTGTGTTTTGAACTACGAATTTCGAAGGCCTTCTACACCTTACCTATTTGAGAAATGGAAAATTTTATTATATTACGCAGTAAAATTGTTATTTTAGCTATTAAAGACGTACATTCTTAATAAATTATTATTGAATTTAGTATTAGAATTATTAAGAACTATGCAACAAATGAATGGAAAATGTTAAAGTAGAAGTGTATATATATATATAATAAAATACATGCATATATGTAGATAACAATAAGTTAATCAATTACAAGTTACAATATTTCTACTGGTTAGAACTGAAATTAAATTTTGGCATAAAATTATAAATAACTTTTAGCATAGTATGTTCTGTTTAAATGTTTATATGCTATTATTTCTTTGATTGTAGAAAATTATATGTATAATTATTGGGTTAAACCTTACCTTGAGTTGAAGCCAAAAATGCACATTTTATTTTAAAAATTCACAATACAAACACAAAGCTAACAATTATTGATTTATATTTTTACCTGAGAACTTTTGGATAATACTTCTTTCTGGATAATTCTTCTGGATAATATTATGGATAATATTCTTTCTTCTTTACGGATGAGACGTGCTCCTTTCCGCCATGTTTCCCGTTCAAACCTCGATCGTGAGAAATATCGATACGTTCGAGAATCGTAGGAAGTCTATTGCGTACTTCTCTGTTGGCGCTGTAGTCGCACGTTCACACGAAATGATCACTGGGAATAGGAAATAAATAGAAAACTCTGGTCTAAATCAAATATGCAAAATTCATGAGATATTCTTTAAAAAAAAAAAAACGAAAATATTCACACACTTGATGAAAGATTGTCAATACTTCAAACTGGGACATGAGAAATTTTATTATATTACGCAGCAGAACTATTATTTAAGTTATTAAATACATGTATCTTTGTTAAATTATTGCTGAATTTAATATTGGAAATGTTAAGAATTACACAATATGAGGTTAAAGAATCAACAAATGAATAGAAAATGTTACAATAAACATAAAAGCATATTATATACATTAATAAAATTGTATAAAATTGTATAAAATTGTATAATATAAATAATATTATATACATATAATAAAAAGTTAATCATATTACAAGGTTATATATTACATATTACAATATTTACTGGTTAGAATTGAAATTAAATTTTGATATAAAATTATAAATAATTTTAGCATGGTATATTCTGTTTAAATCTTTATATGCTATTATTTCTTTAATTCTTGAAAATTATATGTATAATTATTGGGTTAAACCTTACCTTGAGTTTGAAGCCAAAATGTGTGGTTTATTTCAAAAATTCACAATACAAATGCAAATCTAACAACTATTAATTTATATTTTTACCTGAGAAATTTGGGATAATACTTCTTTTCTTCTTTGGATAATACTTCTATTCTTCTGGATATTATTTTTTTCTTCACAGATGAGATGTGCTTCGTTCCGCCATTTTTCCCGTTAAAAATTCGATCTCGTGAGAAATATCGATTACGTTCGAGAATCGTAGGAAGTGTATTACATAATTCACCGCGTTGTGGCGCTGTAATCTTTCACTAATTTATATAAAAAGAAAAAAAAAAAAGAAATAAATAAAATATTCTGGTCTAAATCAAAGAATCACATAAGTCTTATTAATTTAATTAATATGAATTATGAACTTACGTAATGTAACTTAGAAATATAACATAATGTTTCCTTATAACCAAATATAATTTCTACTTTTCAAACTAATTTCCATTACATTTAACAAAATTTTTCCGTTACAAATACTGTTTGAAATAATTATTTCATTATAACAAAGATGTTCTTTCTCTGTCACATTATTTGGTTTAATACTAGAACACAATTATTTGAAATTAAATACGAATTATAACGTATTCGTACGTGATATATTTCGATAGTTGTTATCTTTTAGTAATTATCGTAACATATATTATCGTACATACTTTATCTTTCTGTACATACATACATAATGTTAATTCAAAATACTATTGCTATCATAAATATTATTAGACATTTTAAGTATTTTTCTCTGAATTTTTAACTAAGAAAACACTTCTTCTACTACTAATTTTTTGAACGAAAATTTCATGTCAATTTTTATTTCAATGTTTCAAATTAGTCATTAGATTGAACAAACTTTTATATTTTATTATTTGGATATCGATTATTTTTTAAAGAAATTGTTTAAATTCTGTAAAAATCGTACAAGTATTAATTTACGATATGTTGTACTAAGATCTGTGCATAGTTACCTTCTCATGATGGGTAATTGGTATTGTTTTCCATAGATATTAATATACAGGAGTACAACTATTTGAAAAGCGATCCAAATTTTAATTTTTTTCAAACTTCACAGTCTTTTCTTGTTCACAGTTGAAGTAGCATTTTGTTTTGGTGATGATTACGCCATCTATCGATATATTATTACTTAATTTTAAAAATATATTATTTTTACATTTTACAATTTAAATTTAAATGGGATATAGAAAGAAAGCTAAGAATATAATTAAGAAGGTGCAATTGAAAAAGCTCACAATTTAATTCCATAAATTAAGTTTTTCTGTAAATAAAAATTTATTTATTTTACGGCGTTAAAAACACTAGCGCCGCGTTGAGGCGAAATGGAGGAACTAAACGCTTTATGTCCATATTAAAAATATTAATTAATTTTAATACTTTTCACGTTAAAGACTTCTAGTTTTCCTTTTTATACGTTAAGAAAGAACAAAAAATTCTATTAAAATTGTATGATTTTATAGAATAGAGACTTAAAAACATTTTCTTTTCTATATTCTGTCTGCTATCACTTTATACCATTTTATTCCATGTATATTTGCTCTACCATGTTAAAAATATATATTGTTTTAATATAAAATTATATTACAATTCACAAAATGCATTTTAGTTCATTTGAATTGCCCACAAGAATTGAGAAATTACGTTTGAAATGCAGAACAGAGCGTATTTATAAAAAGAATCATATTTAGTTAAAAGATGATTTTTTTAAACAATATAATCATTCAATTGCTCTTATTTTTTTAGCAATTTTTTATTACATTAAGTAGAAATCGCTTTAAACCTGATAAATCTACTTCATAATCTTAGTGTAATCAGGTGAATTTTGCGATATGGCAGTTGACCAATAAAGAATATAGCTTAGGCTATTAATATTTAATGTATACAGTTGCCATCGTAAATGTAATAACTTATGACGATACACATTTATATATGCCATAGTTTTCTAATTGCGTGATCTTTGTAAAGATTTTGAAAATGTTTCATACTACTAGAAATAGAAGGTTAGGACGATTCTAACAACAGTGTTTGACGTGTCAGTGCAATTGCAAATGGCGGGTACCAATGGTGACATTTCCTCGATAGGGAAGAAAATCGAGAAATTGGCGATAACCGTGGAAGAATTGGCGAAAAACGAAAATGAGACAGAAACTGGAAAGAATTTGGAACCTCGACTATGGGGTTTCGAAACCAGGGAACTATACAAAATTGCCGTTAATTTCTACAAAGGTGAGTCAATCGTATTGACAATTTATCAGAATAGTTTCGCAATCCGAGTCTTTGACTTCTGTCAGAAACATAGCATGTCGGCGTGGAGACGCATTGTTGCATTGTTATGTCATGTATTTCCACATGTCTGAAGGTTGAAGTATAAAATTTTATGAGAACTTCACGAGTGATCACTGTGTGACTCACTGTTGTGTACTTGTGTTTTTTTTTTTTGTCTGTCACGTAGTGAATAAACAGAATCTCTTTACTAACAAAGTATTGATTATGTAAATTTTTCGATTATTACAGAAAAGGAGGGTAAAGCTGTTCATCTGTCCTATGAAGACAAATTGAAACTGGTAGCTTTTACTCAACAAGTAACACATGGCAAATATACAGCAGAAAATGCACCATCTTTGGGTGTGTTAGATGTGATTGGAAGGGACAGACGTTTAGCATGGCAAAATCTAGGAGATATATCAAAGGAACAGGCGATGGAGGGATTTATAGTTTTGTTAGACAAGCTGTGTCCCTTGTTTAGAACCGTTGTCGAAGCTCAAAGAAGAGATATCGAAGAGAAGTTGCGGTTGAAAAAAGAGGAGGAAGCAAGGAAATTAGAAGAAGAGAGGAGGCTGAAAGAAATAGACGAACAAAAAAAGAAAGAAGAGGAAGCTAGATTAAAAGAGGAAATACAGAGGAGACAAATTCAAGATGCCTTAAACCAACAAACATATTATCAGTTCAAAATGTATGCGGAGCAACAATATCCTGGGAATCCAGAACAACAAGGTGTATTAATAAGGCAGTTGCAAGAACAACATTATCATCAATATATGCAACAATTGCGTCAAAATCAATTGGTCATAGAAGATCAAATCCCAGAAATGAACACTGCCACAATAGAAACTTCTCAAAAGGAAGAGCACAAAGAAACAAATGAGACAGCTCCTTTGAACGAGGAAGATTCGGATGAATTGCAGGATGATTGTCCGCCTATAACTCCAGCAGAGATGTGGACTAGGAAAGGTGTGGAAGAATTCAAAGAAACCATTAGAAGGGAAGATGGTGATGCAGTTATTAAAGTTGGACATGGAGAAACAGTAACTGTTAGAGTGCCAACACACGAGGATGGTTCTTGTTTGTTTTGGGAATTTGCAACAGATGGCTATGATATTGGTTTTGGAGTATATTTCGAATGGTCAAAACCAGAAACGAATCAAGTATCAGTACATATTAGTGAGTCTGAAGATGAGGACGAAGACGATGATGATTATGAAACAAGAGATGATTTAGAAAGTGGAATAACAAATAGTACAATACAGTCTGACTATAAACCATTGCCACCACCTATAAGTATTATAGTACCTGTAAGTATATCAATTTACTTTCTAACTTCAGAAATAAGAGTAGAACAATTTTCATGGTATTAATATTTTAATGCTGTTTATTTTTGAAGATTTATAGGAGGGATTCACAAGAAGAAATCTATGCAGGAAGTCATAGATATCCAGGGCAGGTAAATAAAAATATATCTTTAAGAGCAACTTATGTTTGCAAATTCAAACTATTATTTATGCCGCTTGTATGTTTTTATTCATTGCAGGGTGTGTATCTTCTCAAATTCGATAATTCATATTCACTTTGGCGAAGTAAAACGCTTTATTACCGGGTCTATTACACACAAAATGGCTACGTGAAAAATTAGCTTTATTAAGGATTCACTGAGCGTACAATTGTTGAGAACTAGCCTGATGCGATGATTTGCCGATATTGCTAGTCTGACTACATGAAAAGTCCTATATGTTATTTCTGTTTACTTAAAAAAAACGGCAAGTGTTTGCAAGAAGAAACAAATATAGCTATTATAATTATGTAAAGACACTTTATTGTTTAATGTGGCGAGCAAAGTGGGCACAAGTAAAAATGAAAGGTTCCTATCGTTCCCTTTCCCATTGATGTTTATATATATATATATATATATATATAAAAAAAAACGAAGCAAAACGAAAAAAATGAAGTGTATAAACGTTGGTAACAACAGTAAACCGTGTATCGTGAATAATTACTTTAATAATCCGATATATTAGTGTCGTATTCGATTGTATATTATGTCAGTAATGTATCGGTAGGTTTATGCATAACAATTGTTTTCTTTTGTGGTAAAGATTTTAGTCTTTGTTATTATCTCACTCGTGTCTGTATCTTATACTTTTATTAATATTATCCCACGTTTTAGAAAAATACATTGAAATCAAAACATCTTGGTATTTTATTTTTTCCTTGTCGTAGCTTTTTGTGTAAAAAGATTAATTAAAAGTAGCAAGTACTTCGAGGAAACAAGTTCCTTTTTCGTGTCGTTTATTGTACTATACCATACCATATCTTTTGCTTTTTTTTTTTTTTTGTTTAGTTTTTACAAGAATGATTTGTATATCGTCATTAATAATAATCATAATAGTTACATACGCAGCAGTATATGATTACAGGCTTTTTACGCAAACGAATACGCGTATACGTAACGCATACAAACGCATTACCCAATTATCGCGTAAATAATGGACATAATTCGCCGTGTTAACAATTTTTTATTTAGAAGAGCACTTTTTTAAGACGGCATGGGTACGTTACTGTCCTTGAACATTGCACTGAGGATTCATACCACGATTTCGAATCACACGAACGTGAAGCAAAAATCCTTCCTGGCGTGCAATTTCCTTTTTTTTCTCTCTCTTTTTTTTTGCTATAGCCAAATTTTTATAATCGAAATGCTTTGATCGTTGATTCGTAACGAAGTAAAATTCGAACCGCGTTCAAGAATCGTATATAAACACCGTTCAATTTATTTAACTTACCTGGGTAATCAATTTCTCGAACTCGTCGATTATTTCTTAAAGCCTAGATCTGCCGCTGTAAACCTATGGATCGATGAACGTTGAATTTTCAAACGTTGAAGGCTCGAATATTTCGTTGGAAGAGACACTTTCAAATTTTTAACGTTTAACTTTGATGCTAGTCAAATGCGCATCCTATTTAACAAGATTATCTTTTATTACAGTTATTGCAATGCAATTCAATTTTCTTGTTAATTAATAACTCTATTTGTATTTTGGTTTCATAGCATCAAATTCCAGCACAATGTGACTATATTTTTAAATATCATGCATTTAGTTGCTGCATGACTCGAGTCGTGGCGTCCATTACTACGGAAAGTGCCTCTTTTGCAGTTCGTTACCGTTAGACGCGCTTGTCGAACGTTCCGTCGTACGCTGGGCAAAAGATTTGTCATACGTTGCTCGTATTTAACTTAAAAGGTAATTACGCGTGTTATCCTGAGATGCCTTAACATTTATACATATATCGTGAGTATCGAGTTCTGTTATCACATGCTTCGTCGATAGTCATTCAACAAGTTGCAGTAAGCCTACGTCTATGCGGCGGTTTAGCTACGCTTTCATTCGTTTGAATTTCGCGCTACAGTAACGTAGTCACTTGCGATTCTCGAAGTGTGATTGTGATTCTCGAAGTGTGATTGTGATTCTCGAAGTGTCATTGCGTTTCTCGGTGATTCGTTAGTTTGAAATGCGAGTGTGCGTGCGTCGTGTCGAAAAATCGTACGAACATTGTGATTCCTTTTGATAATTTCGATAGTTTTGTGAAAGATCCTGTTATCTGGACGAAAATTTAGTGGCTCTGGACTGTTTCGCCTGGATTTCGCCGGTTCTCTCGTCGTTGGCAACCGGAATTGGTAAGTACACACGCAATAGCTAACTATTACAGAATTTTCGAATCTACGATGCACGTAACCAATCTCAACCCATTCGAACATAGATTTTCTTTTTGAGCATATAACGTTTCTTTTACCCATTTTTTCGTCACTTTTGAGAGGATTTCAATTCCGATTGCAAACATAGCTGTCTTTCTTCCATCAATAGATGGAACGGAATCGAATGGGTTGATAAGTAGCACTTAGTTTGTCTTGCTTTTCGTCAAATGCGAATACTCGCGTAAATTTACACATACAAACACACACATTTCATCCGAGTTCTGTTTAACTTACTATAGATTAGAACAATCATGGTATAATTAAGGCTAGCCTCGTAAACGTTAAATGAATATTGAGCAATGTTTCCTATTAGACTGCGTATGATACATGTGTAAGATATAATAAATAAATAAATATACCGAAGATATATTCTCAGTTTTTTACTTTATCTGTAAAAACCAAATGAAATTTCATCTGCGAATCAAAATGATGAATATGTGTCGAACAAAGCATGTTTCTCTATGCAAATATTTTTCAAGGATACGCTTGAAATTCCTCGACTCGTTTATAAATAATAAAAATTAGAAGAAAAATCTCAGAGCCTTGATTACACCGTGATTATTATTACTATTTTTTTTTTTTTTCTCGTAATATAGTGACTTCTATCAATGATTATCACGATCAGCAATTGGCATCGATACACATTATCCGTATATGAAAAATATCCTCCTAAAAGCATTAACGGTGCGTTTTGTTTCCTCGCAATAATATTAGAATAATAATAGTAGTATATGTATATATATATAGTATATATCTAATAAATACAAAGTTCTCGGTCAAAATTTCGAGAGACCGGTAAAAACGATCGGAATTAAGGATAGCTTATTTTCTCCTCTTTTGTTGCGGCGAGCAAACATGTAGACAAAAATATATGTATGTGTGTATATACGTATATATATACCTATATACTTATGTACTTTATTCTCGTAATTCTATGTGCACGGAGAAGCGAAGACTTTCAATCGTTTTTCGGCACGGATTTTCCCTTTTCGATAGTTTTAGATTTCTCGTTTTGCATCAATCCCTTCTTGCAATGTAAAATCTACGCATTTGTTTTCCTTGCTTATGTTTGAGCGAACGTTTTTTTTTTTTTTTCTTTCTCTTTTCCTTTACGAACGTCGCGTTCGTACGAATTAATCTCGTGGTATAGTTTCCATGCTTCTCAAAAACATGGAACTCTTCGGACGTTAGGATAAGAGTGAACCAACCCTCGTTTATGTGTTTTAAATGTACGTGTTCGAACGAAGTAAAAATCTATTAAAATTTTTTTCTATTTAGTAAACACTACAAGTACAAGGTATTTTAAAGACAGATGACATTAAGTCAAGTAAAAAATCATGAATAAAAAATTACTCATAAATACTTCGTTTCAATGAGTTATTTTCTCCTGCCTTGGAAAATTTTATCCGTTATTTCAATTTCTATACTGTATTTAAAGAAAAACTAGTTTATTAGTTCAAACATCTTTCATTATTACGTATCAATTATTACCATTATTGCGGCTATTAAAAATGATTAGTATTATTGAAAATTTAGCACACTGTTTCAAACAGCAGTTAACATCTACGTTTCAAGCTTGATTAATTAAAATATGACAAAATTATATTTTATTAACTTCGTTCAATGTTTTACCATTCAATTATAGTCTATTGTTTTCCTCCTGTCGATTTCATTTATATAAAAATCTATTTAATTCAACGAGGGACAAGGTTCAATCTCATCTTAACCAACCAAGAAGCGAAATACTTTAGTTGAGAAGAATTGTGGAACAGTACGATCTAAATATTATTATAACGCCATGGACATTAGCATAAACATGCTATCATACTTAACGAATATCGAATAAAAATGCTTGCGTCTAATAATCTCATTAACTCTCGCTTTCGAATATTAAAAATCCTCTTTCTTCGAATTTCGTATTTCGAAGTATGAACCTCTTGAAAGCTTGTGCAAAAACTGTACGCATAATTGACGCAATTATAAATTGCATTCACGATCTTTAGCAAGGCGTGTCGCGCGAAGAAACAGAGAATTTTCTTTAAAAATCCATAGTACAACTCCTATTGGCGACATTGACAGCGTTTCACGCTCAAATTTCCCTTATATCCACGAAAGGACAATTTCAAACAAAAAAGAACTTCGTTTTTTTAGGCGCATCGAATTTGCAACCTTTTTTGCTTATGATACATGATAGTTTCTGACGAGTAGAAACTGAAAATATTAATTTTAAGGGACTGGATTATCTCGAGTCGTGCAGAAATGAAATTTGCATTCTGCGAAAGTCGCATTCAACAAATCACAACTTTTCATTTAGTAATTAATTACCTATGGAAAAATATCACCTTCGTTTTTAAACGATTCAGGATAATCTACATCCCCGATGAGAGAGATCGTTAACTCGATCAATGAAGATCATCATTTTAAAATAGTAATAAAGTCGTATGTATATAAAGTTTATACATGCATCTAAGCACCTACTATTATATATATATATATATATATATATATATATATACATATACACATGTACTGTACAAAACATTTTTAATTAGCACACGAGACACGACTATCATCATAATTATGGAAATAATATTGGAAACAAATCTGAAAGTATATTTACAAGATATTTCTGACTCTATCCCAGCAAAATGTATCATACGCGCAAAAGTCACAAATTCGTTGCGTTGAAAAAACGAAGTTTTTCGACGAAAGGATCGATATCGTTCTAAACGCGAAGCAAAGGCGGCGCGACGCGTAAGTCGCACTCACGCGCGTATATACAGGATGTTGAAAAGTGGCAGGACGGATATTTACAATCATCATCCCCTGTCCCTTCGTTATAACGACGTCTCCATGTTCAGGTTCGCCCATTTGTTGTTCTCCGTTCTGTAATCCTCCACCCTACCGGTGAAGCTCCGACGAAAACTCGCGTCGTTCCGACTCGATTTCGTTCGTCTTTCGGTCAACGAACGCGTCAGTTCACCGACGTTCGATCTGGAAACGTTCGCAGGGGAAACCCTGTCTATCGTACCTTGCTGATCGGTGAATTTCTCGCCGTGATTCGAGATCGATCCTTCATAGGGTGGGAAAGACGTTGCGTGTTGGTAAACTCGAGCGGTGGTTTGTTGGACGTTCTTGTTGAAGTCCATGGTGTCCATGGCGTCTGTGGACGCTGAGAATGCGTACGGATAGGGATGTTGACGGTCTGGTGGACAGGAGAAGGAAGAAGGATGAGAGGTAACGTTGTCCGAGTAACGTTGTTTGTGGGGATCTTGGAATCGGCGTCGAGAAGATTTCCGATCGCAGGTGAGAGAACGTCCAAGTTGACCGAGGACCGTCTGGTTCGGTGACTCTTCCGTTGGGGTGGAATCCACTTCCTGTCGCGTTCTGACTACGTCTTTTCCACCGAACGGATCGCCAGGGCAGACCTCCTGTATCGGACTCGCGAAGATGAGAGTTCTGTGGGAGGGGAGAAAAGTTTCTCGTGAAAGTAAAATCTGAAGGCAGTCTGCAAATACTATCGTCCAGAAGCGCACAGTTCTTTTTGGATAAAATCATATCTTGCATAGCTACGGATGTAACTACTCGCATACTATAACGGATGTAAACCAAGAGCAACAACTTCAAAAACTCACCTATTACTCTCACGTTTCGATCCTTCTTCGCATTTCTCTATGGATATATTCTCTAAAAACTGTTTCTTCCTCCTTCCTAAAGCACCGTCCAAGCTCTCCCTCGATCTCGAAAGTCGATCGAGTCTCTGTCCAGCGTTGTTCTTCGAAGCGCTGATACAACCCTCGTGATACGACGATCGATTCAGCAAACGTCTGTCCACGTCGTCGTCTTCTCGGTCGGAGAAGTCCTGAAGCTCCCTCGCGGTGATCAGAGTATACCTTCGTTTGTTCTGTTTAAGAATCGATTTCAAGCAAAAATATGTCTTCGAGTCGGGCAATCCGCAGGCGACATCCTCGTTCGACATCGGATTCGTGATCACTCTGCTTCTGCCGGCTAGTCTCTTTGGTATCGCGCCTCTGCTCGCGTCTACGGACCTAGAATTGGCTTCGTCGAGGGAGCAAAGTGACAACCTGAAATCTCCACCGCTTCTCGTCTCACCTTGACTAGTCTTACCTTGACTAGCCTCGCCAATCCTATCTTCCATACCGAACTCCTCTTCCTGCTCGCACTCCAAAATATTCCTCAAACTCTGTCCGTTCAATCTGAGGAACCTGGTGTCAGCTTCCATCAGTTCCGATCTGGATCTGAGATTCGGCTCGGACATGTCTCGAGGGATCACGCTGGTCCTCGCTGCCCTCCTCATGTTCTGGAACCCTCTGACCGAGCTAGTTCCACGTCTCTCCACGTTACACTCGCTGCTTCTCGACATCTCTGAGCTTTCCAGCTGCGCTTCCACCAAGAATTTCCCGCAGCTTCCGCACTTTCCAGTCTCCGTTTCGCTGACCAGCGTGCAGCTCGAAGGGTGCACCTCTGTGCCCGCCGTTTCCGTCGGTGGCTCTCTGGTCTGTCGATCGTTCGACTGCCCGTCGTCCTCGTCTCGCCTCGATCCTTCCTCTTGCACGTTCACCTCGAAGGTAGAGGAGACCGCGTGACACGGGCAGGAACACTCGCGCGACGTTGCCGGACGATTCGAGTCCTCGTCGACCTCCTGCGTTACGACGCAGCCTTGCTCCGCTCGCTGATAGAGCAACGCTTCCGAATAACTCGGCACCATCTCGGTTATACTCGCGTCCTGAGATTCGGCTGTTCGTTGATCCGGCGCTGGATCCATCAGAAGCGCCTCGCTGTAGCTTGGCGCCAGCATGTACGAGCCCGGCTGATTGATGGTCTGTTGGCTCATGGACGCGTGTATCGGCTCGCTCCCGCTCGGCGTGTCGTAGTTGATCCCGAAGAGTTTGGTGATCTGAAAGTTCGCGTGTGCTTTCTGTTATTTGGAAGCTTGACGATGTTTGAGAATTTTTCCTCCCTGCGCACGTCGAGAATTTTTCCTCCCAAAAATTGCAATATTCCCTCAGTTTCAAGTATATTTAAGTATAATCCCGAACGATAAATTTATTACTTCTCGATCATTTCTATCCAATGATATTCATACCGGCGAGTTCAAAAGGGAACGAAAGCGACGAATTATTGTATACCGGTTTCGGTCACTCGTTACGGTCCGCAATCAGTTGCCAGCGCAAGTGGTTAAGCGTGTCATAGATTTCAACATCTACTAGGTCATTTCATCGGATTCTTGATACACGAGCTCGTATTTCTTTTCCAATTCGTCGTTGCCAGTGAAAGATAAAGTAGTTTTTAAAATAAATTTGCCAAAGTTCAGCTTGATATTATTTCACGCTGGCGAGAAAACGAATGTATGAAAGTTTCGTCGACAGGAAAATGATAGTAGAAATATAGCCCGTGTGCAGTCAGTATTAATAAAAACTTATAGGTTTTAAAAACGGTTCATACCTTTCTTTCGAAAGTAGCATTAATCGTTGCAAAACAACGCAGAAGAGCAAAAGTAAAAGAAATAGCTTGCACGTTATAGATGGAATAGATTCTCACCTGGTAATCAGCATATTGCGTTTTGTACTCTATAATCACTCTCAAAGGCCAATTGAGCAACAGAGCACTTAGACACCAGTAGACGTAACGATTAGTGAACCAGGGACTGCCAGGAACAGCCACCAACGTCGTAGGGTTCGGATTGTATCCAAGATCTAGACCTTCTCTCATCTCCATGTAATCGTCTCTCAACTCCTTCAAACAACGATAGTTTAACTCGTTGAATTCCATTCGTTTCCTGAATAACTCTCAATCTCAATGAAATTATTCGTATACTGCGGGTTTTTATGCAAATCGAGAGGCAGAACCGTAATGAAGAAACGTGCACAAACGTTTTATTCTAGTTTGAGCATTTTGCAATATAATAAACTCTCCGGTTTCTTTTTATGGAATCGTAGAATCGAGTTGAAAGGCACGAATGGTGGTGAAAAAAAAATATTGAAAAGAAGCACTGAGATTTCCTTGTATAAGAATGATAATATAAATTAACAACATTGATTCTTGATGAATTGGCAAAAGTAAGTTTCTTTAAATTTCATAAAATTACAGAATATGGAGAAATATCTGTGTTATCAATCCCTTGAGATATCTAAAAATTCGAATGCCTAACGTTTTGAAATCCAATGTAAAATCCAAAATAACGTCTGCACAAAAGATCTCTGCATTTTTTTTTTTTTTTTGTTATTTTTTGCTACAAATGCATAAAAACTCGCAGTCTAATCGTTGACTCGCAATTCGTCGTACTTGTTCCGCGAAGAATCTCGACCTGGCCTCCTCGAACTCTGTTGCCGATCTCATGTTTGAAAAGGCGAATCCTTTGCTGAGATTGATCTTCGTGATCGGCACCTTTGGATCCAAGATCAGTTCCTTGCTAATATCCTTCACGCCGCAGTAGTCGTAATAGTAGAAGGATGTGGCGGCGTGTGTGTTTATCCTTTCGTAGTAAACCTGGAAGACGAGCGATGTTAGAAAGAGGGATAAATCGAGGATAGATGGGCCATTGAACAAAGACAGATTGCTAAATCATTTTCTCCCTTGCTAGAAACGATCAGAAAATGAAATTACTCGTAATATTAAGTGAAACAGAGTCAGTATGGTAACGAGTACGTCGTTGATTCGTATCAACAATATTGGAATGTTAAAATAAATTGACGGTCAACTAATGAGAAAAAGCAATTTAATATCTTGCAGGGTCGAAAGATGTAAGTGTATCAAAGACACAAATTCCTTTTGAGTTATAGTACACATATTGAAATTAAATGAAATTAAAATACGCGATTCATCGAATCGTATCATTTTAAATATCGTTACGAAAATTAATTAGCAATAATTTCTCTGCGAGTTTTTATCTTACCTATAAGCTCGATCGAGGAGCTGTTTAAATCAGGGTGACCATTAATTTTTCTTCAATAGATTCAATAGATGGAAACACGTATATTCGTATTTCTGCGTTTTTAAAAGAAAAGTTCTACAGTTTCTGAAAGTTTCTTGAAATACGTGGCCCATTTTGAAGTAAATAATTCAGTCGTTTAAAATCTTTCTCAATGAATTCACGTAAAAATACTGTTTCCGATTCATTGCTTTGAACGTTACGCAAAATGATGTTATTGCAACTAGCATGCTATTCAGAATAAATACACAGTGGAATGTATAAATGAAACGTAGTACAATACACGCCACATACAATACACATACATATACACATTAATACATGCATATCTCTTACAATATCGACATGTTTTTGTCAAATTATCGGAACCAGTCTGAAACGTCATTAACGCGAATAAAAAATCGTTTGTACTTCAAATAACCAACAATATTGCAACAAATATGAAATTAATTTATTGCTAAAAAGTTAATTAATGACTAATTTATCACATTCGTCTAATATTTGTTTATCATTTATCCAAAATTGCATTTTGTTAATAATAGCAAATTCTTAATAGCACCCGCGAAATAGCACCCCGACGATTATAATTTATTAAATATCACAAGTCAACTGTCAGTAATTCTAATTTTATTTTGTCTAAATATTAATATTAATTAAGAAGTTATTATTAAGAATAAGAATATTTTATTTTCCTTTATATATATATATATATATATATATATATATGTAACTTCGAATTATTAACCTCTTGCGCTGGAATAACGTGCCACGCACGTCGACAATTTTTTCGTCCCAGAATTGCAATATTCCCTCAGTTTTAAGTATATTTATGTATAACTCAGGCAAAACAAACAATAAATTTCATTTTTATCCATTGATATCATACTGACGAGTTCAAAAAAAAAGCGACGAATTATTGTATATTCGGCCCGGTCACTCGTTACGGTCCGCAATCAGTTGCCAGCGCAAACGGTTGATTCAATAAACTGCGGATGTTCGTATAACTCGTATAAATTAGAAAGAAAATTAAATAGAACGTTAAATATATTAAATATATTTATTTTTACACATTTATTTAAATATATTTAATATATATATCTCGTTCAATGGAGCTACGTAGAATATACTGCATAAGATGAGGAATTTAGTAGAATCCAGCGCAAACATTAATTAATTCGCGACCGATGTAAAATTATCGGCAGGCAACACTCGACGAGATTGAAGGTCGGGCAAGAATGTTTTCGAAGAAGAGAAAGAGGGTGAAAGAGAGGAGAAATGGTCCATCTGTCCTCGCAACAGTGTTCGGTGAGGCTCGCGCGAAGCGTATCAACGATTTACCATCCCGCGACTTCCTTTCGTCTGGATTACGAGATATGCGTTGCACGTTGCGCGCTATGCGTTACCTGCGTCGTCGTGTAATTGTCTCCGTTTCTGTACCGGGTAATTTGACGTTTACGTCGCACGTAATGGTACGAGACAGCTTTCCACCAGATGGTCGGTTGCGCCGACTTCAACTGCGAGATCTTGGACAACACGCTGTCCTGGCTCTCCGCGTGTAACAGATCGATCCTGATCGGCGAGTGATAACACTCGACCAAATAGACCAGATACAGCATCCCCATAAACGCCACCTGAAACGTAACCGGAATGTGTCTTTCGTGCCCAATTCGAAATGGATCTTCTTCGCGTTTTCTCTCGCAATTTCCAAACCCGCGTCGCGATAATTTGTGGAGTTTTAAGTTATAATTCTTCCTTTCATTCTTCGTATATTTCAATCGTATTTAATCTCGTCAGGTTGTCACTTATTGATAGAGAATTTTCTGAAACGCGTCCCGTGGTTTAACAAACTCTGTCGATATATACTGTGGCTACGATCGTTTGAAGTATTTCCAAAAAAGATATGATAGAAACGTGTACTCTAGTGTTACTAGAGATCAATTACACTTGTTGAAATTTAATAGAGAATTCCCAGAATAAAATGTACCGACAGAATTCGACCAGAGGAAACCTTGAAACTACTCTGTACAACAACAGTTTGAAAAATTTCGCGGAAATTCAAAGTTAATTAAAAACGTAGGATCTTTACAGACGCGGTCGATCTCTCTATAAACGAAAGTTTAATGTCCGTGAGTGGCTCTATACTGCTCGTTTGAAATATCGGAGAAACGGAGAACAATCGCTTTGAACGAATTTAAAACGGAATTTTCCACATTTTCAATTTCAAGTGTCGGCGATTGATTTCACTCCGTCGCACGATTTGCTCATCCGAGAGCAAATCCGATCTTTCCCGGTGGCAAACGTATTGTGCATACATAATTCGAATGGATTTTTCTTTTCTATTTATTACTTACGGGGATGTATATGTAGCCATCGTCGCATGGGGACACGTGTTTCGTGCTTTTAATTGGGTACCTCGTGAAATTGATTATCACCTACGAACAATTTTCCACTGAAGAAATCCCGTCTCCCTTCCTCGATTCCTCGACTTCGATTCGAAGCGAATCGAATTGTCAAGTTTCTCTCGTTTCGAGAAAATTGCTCGAGATTGGAGAATACATTCGTAATGCAGAGGAAAACGACGTACCTTGGTGACATTCGCGCATCTACACCACGTCACTGCGGCAAGGCATCCGTATATTAACACGGAGAGCACCAAACATTTGCAATTCGGTTCTTTTTGCAACGCGCCGCAAAGCGTTTGAGAGACTGGCCGCTGCTGCAGAGACATTATCAATGATCAGACGATACTGTCCTCTTCGCAAACCATCCGAATGTGAATTAAAAATCTCATTGTGAAACGTCACGACGTTCTCGTCTTTCGGTGAATGGCAATATTGAACGTGGAAGTGGATTTGGGGAGGTTCGAAAGGAGGTAAGAGGGAGACGAAATTGAAACTTGCGCGAAGCAGTTTGAACGTACTTCCTCGTTTTCCCGATTCATCGTTGCAACAATCGTGGCCAGGATACTTTCGAACGTGTCAAAGTTGGGATCTTCTCATTTCACGAGTCCTCCTCGAGCTTCCTTATACCCTCGCCGCTGGTCTCCGTGCTGCAAGAATCGAATTATTTTGCTTCGAACCGGGGGAAAACGTAGCTCGATGATCGATTCGATATACGGCGACCGATCGGAAGTGACATTCCACTCTCGTTCGCCTGTATACGAAAGTATAATTTTCAAAACCCGTGGGAAGTCCTCGTTCGTCAATGAAAGATTCAAAGAACCGCACGCTACTTCACCAAAACTGCTACTGCCAAGCGGGGAAAGCTACGACATCCTAATTACAGTTAATCCTGCGGTTCCTCGGATTTTTCCCGACGTTCCCCTGGTTCTCGAGCGTCACTCGTTTCCCGCCTTTTAACCTCGCGAGCAGCTCCTGGTGCTACACGCCTAATTACACCATACACGCGTCCATTCGCCAAATAGCCGGCGGATCGATCGTTCCATCCGATCGATCGTCATTAACCACGTTAGTTGTTGAACGAGCTCTGAGACAACATCTCCCGAGTTTACTCTCTCGACCCACAGTCTTTCTTTCACCGAAGGAGGCAAGAAGAGAGAGAGAGAGAGAGAGAGGGAAAGAGAAAAAGAGAGAGAGAGAGGGCCACTTTCTTCCAGACGAGCGTCTAAAATATCGTCCGCCGGTGTAACGATGTTTGCCTTGCTGTTAACCAGGCGCAAAGGTTAGCCATCGTGCGTCCAAGAATCGTTCATCCCAAGGTGAGGAATAAAATCGATCGCGTTCAGGGGGAGAGAATAGAAAGAAGGGACGCGCGAAGGGTGATCGTCGACGAGCCGCATCGTCTACTTATCGTACGTTTCTCTCCTTTTCTCACTGGTCTCTTCTCGGGCATCGTTTCTCGGGTCCCTGCCTCTCATTTCACTCTTCTCTCTTTCTCTCTCTGGTCGATCCTTGATCCTTCGTCTTCGGATTGGTCTTCGAGATCCTCTCGAAGATCGAGACAAGTCGGGTCGCCTCGTCGAGTGCTGTGGCGTGACGGAGGAAATCGTTCGGAACGAGAAAGAACGAAGCGTTGGAAGTTGGAAAGAGGTCGAAGCGGAAGTCGAGGACTTTCTCCTTTCGGCCGTCAGTCCCTGACGCGCCCCTCGGCCGTACTCTCGGCTGGAACCACCCCGATGCTACCCCTACGGCTAACTGAGAGCGTCGTCGATACGCGTTGCCCGCGGACGCGGCATTTCTACTGACGACCACGGCGTCACACAGCGTCGCCTTCGCCCTCATCCTCGCCGGCACAGCCGCGACGCGCGGCGTCGGCGCCCATCGCGCTCAACTTCCCCGCGGCTGCGCCCGCTTCCGCGTTCCTGCGTCCTCCAGTGGCCCGCCTTTGTCTTCTCGTGCCCATTCACCTCCCATCCTACCTAGCCAGGACGACGATCGGGGCGAGGCGCATCTCTTCCATCCACGACCACTCGTCGACGCTTGAAAATATTCTCCGTGAATTTTTCTTAATTTCTTTCTTTTTTTTTTTTCTCCGGGGTTTTGGAAACCTTCGGGCGAGACTGGCGATTTCAATGTTTGGAGAGGTTTTGGAGCGAGCCTGAGAAAATGTTGAAACGGATCAAACGGAATTTGGTTGTTAGAGAAATTGATTGGCGATTGTGCTCGTATGTTGAAAAAACAATGGATACGTGATCGACTGTAGGAAGAATTATCTTTTGGATACTTGATTTAAACAAGAAGAGGAGAAGAGTAGAATTTAACTGTTGTGTGAATTTTCTTGACGATACTAGGATTTTTGTAGAATTTTCGCAACAAGGACGTAAAATTTGTAATTTTCGAGTCGTTGCTACATGAAAAAAAGATTGTATTTTTTTTTCTATAGTAAGCTCGAAATGTCATAGAAAAGTTGACAAAATTATTAAAGAAAATATTAAACTTTGAAAGTCCTTGTCATAATGTTTAAAAATAGAATTGAATAATGTAAAATGAATAAATAAGGCAAAATACTCTATTAGCGCAGCATTGGCGTTTAACGAGATTGAAGAAAGTTTGGAACGTGGAAGTTATATAGGGAAAGTTTCGACGTGAGTTGAAATGTAATAAATCGTTCCTGTATCAAACTCAACTCGATTCAACTATCGTTCAATTACTTGAAATAAAAATTTGAGAATTGTTCTGTATCGGTAATACTTGTATCGTATTCTAATTGTAACTCTCACGTGTCAATCGTTAATATAATTAATCGACATTAAAATTGAATCAAGTCATTCAATCTCAAGGTTTTACAATTTTAGTAAAAAAAAATATTTTTTGATTAAATATATTTTAATCAAACTATTAAAATAGTCTAATTGATTAAATATATTTTAATCAGACTGTTTTAGATTAAAATTTGAGGGTTAAAAGGAGGCTAATTGAGGACTGAAAGAAAACAAAATCAAAACGAAACATTTCACACACGATAGCTTTCTATTTAGAAAAGATCAACATTGTAATGTTTCAATTCAACTCACGTCGCCAAATTAAATAGCATCAAATTCATATCACATCCCAAAGGCTAGGAAATATTCTTTAATTCTTCTTTTTCATAAAACATTTCTTCTCAAAAGTTCACAAGAGAAGCTTGATAATAATGTATATATATATATTTAAAACCTGTGTATTGTGTATTATATATAATTATATTAAATATATTTTACATATTAATTATATTATTAATAATATTAAATATATTTTGTATATTAATTATATAATTAATAATATTAAATATATTTTATATATTAATTATATTATATTAAATATATATTTAATAGATACGTATAATATATTGAAAAATTCCTTTAAAAAAAAAAAAAGCTCCGACGAAAAGGTAGAAATAAGAAGAAAAAGAATCAATCGTTCTCCTATTTATACGCTGGTGATTGTACCAATTAAGCTCCATCTCTAATTAAATTCGTGCAGGCTTGGAAATATTACTCAATACCACCCCTATTATCCTTTTGACAACACACGCAAGGTACAAAAGAAATCTCTGGTAGAGGGTGTTTAAATCACCTCCTCTTCCTCCTCCTTCTTCTCCCCTCAATGATTACACCGCCATCCTGTTCGATCGCGTTTCACACGGGGGAACAACTGTGTGCCGAAGTAATTAAAGAAACGCGTGAACACGCTATACGAAAATTGCGCAAAGTCTTTCACAAAAATTGAAAAGCCCCCGAGATTAAATTTCATTAGGCGGCGCCGCCTTTGTTGCCCGCCCCTGAGGGAATTCCGCGTCGTCGTCGCGAAATGAATTCATAAAGGCTGGCGATAACTTCTCCGCCGAGAGTTGGAACGATATCAGTCGTTAATCTCGACGGTCGAAGATGCGAACGCACCGTTGAAAAATCGCCGACTGTAATGAAAGCTTGTACTCGCGCGATAAGAGCGAAACGAATTTTCCCTTGGCAGAATGCTGAAGATTTTCTGTTGAAATTGCAACTCGGGACGATCCATCGCGGCGTTTCTGCGACATTTTCTCTGAGGTCAGAGTGTTCTTGATAACCGTGATCGTCTTACGCGAGTTGTCTCGAAATTTTTAGTTTCGAAAAAGACGACGTTGGACAAATAGTAAGTTTTTTATATTTAATAGAAAAGATCACGAAACTGGGAAACAATTTATTTTTATAAAATTTGACGTTATACGAATTCTACGTCTTCTTTTGAAATTTTCTTTACGATAATGTTTGTATAAAAAGTAACGGTGAATTTACAAACAGCCATTGTTCAAACAGTTTATTTAAAGTCACAAAGTGTTTACGACAGGATTTTTATGAGAGTATCGCGAGTTTATTATTGTTGTAAGAGGACCGATGACTATCTGCTACAACACGAGGCAACAAAATTACAAGTGAGTTTTATTAAACACTTTATGTTTGCCGTTCGAACGAGCAAAGAGTTTTTAATATCGTCAAAAGGCTGTTGGCATAAAAACGATCAGGCAAGACGCGTCGGACGATTGATTTTAATTTTCCAAGAGCAGAAATTCTCTATCTCACGTTTCTCACGTCAGTCGCGAATGGAGAAATTGCTGTGAAATTCGTTACAAATGGATTTAGTTGGATGTAACGGTGATAATCATAGATCTAGATAATCAAAGTTCGATTCGGCGTCACTTATTCTGAAGAATTCCTTTTTCCTTTAATGTTCAACATAGACAGTTATTACCAAAAGTTGATCTTCATCACTTCAATTTAATTGTAAATTAAAAAGAATTAAGAAATGTTGCGTATAAACTCTATAAATGTTGTGCATGTTCTGTATTTGTGCATAAACCTATCTCCTTCGCTATAGAAATCAATTTTTATTTTTTCAATTCCTATCGAATGAAAATTGTAAAAATTAAAGAATAAAGAACTTCTCCTAGCTTCATTCGTGGCCCCCATTAACTTCGTACTTTTAACAAAACGCAAGTCTAACAAACAAAGTCTTGGAAATCTATAAATTAAAATTTCTAGAAACACGTCAATGTATAATTGACTTGCGAATTTCAATTCAACTACGTAACTAACCTTAATTAACGTCTCTAGCTCCGAAATCAAATAACAACGTCTCTCCCCGATATCGTTTGAGAAACGATATATTCACGAAATATGTCAGCTGGCGTTTTCTCGAGGAAAAATTCACCGCTGTTACAGGGTGAATCAATTTAAAACGTCAATCAAACAGTCCGATGGGCTGGGAAGTCAAACATCGGAGGGGTTGTGCAAACAACGCGCGCGGCGGCGAAAGCGACACAGGTTGCGAAACGACAGGACGCGAAAGCTCGCGCGATCCTTGTCACGTGACTTCCCGAACACCCTCTATTTGCATTGTGTGCGTGTGAAACCATGTTGGACAAAGGCAACGGTCTCGGCGCCGTCTCGTCGCCGTATCTATTGATTGCAATTTGAGATGATGGCAGACGACGAGCAGGGCGAGCGCGCATCTAGCCGAACGAAAGTGTGTATTTACGTACGTATCGAGTTCACCTCGAGCAGCTTCGAAATCCTCTTTTCTACGATCAAAATCCCCCCGTTTTATTATCCTGACACGTCGGCGGAGAGTTCACCATTCCAGCGTGTATAAAGAAGCATGTCAAAGAGATAGGTGACTCGGACACTTTGACACTTTCGAAAGAACGTTTGTTTGTTTTTTTTTTTTTTTTGTTTTTTTTTTGAAAGCTTTTGCAAGTCCATTTTCTTCTGTATTTCGTTTCGATTCGTGTTGAAATGCTAGCGTTCGCGAGAATTTAGTAAAATTTTTCGATCGATTAGAACCGGCGATTATTTTTTTTTTTTTCTTTGCACTCGACTGTCCCTTCACTTGCGCTGCGGCAACTGATTGCGGACCGTAACGAGTGACCAAGCTGTACACGATAGTTCGTCGGTTTCCTTTTCTTTTGAACTCGTCGGTATAATATCATTCATTTTAGATAGAAATTATTGAGAAGTAATAAATTTATTGTTCGTTTTCCCTGGGTTGTGCTTAAAATATACTTAAAACTGAAGGAATATTGCAATTTTTGGGACGAAAAAAGGTTAAATCTAGCTCTTTTTATAATCTGATAATTATAATGAATGTGTACATTTGGTGTTGCATGATACGATATGATAGTATAATATTACACTATAATTATATACATTATAATAGTATAATATAATATATAATATTATGGTACTATATAATATATGTAATATATAATATTATAGTATTATATAATATATAATTATAATAGTATAATATAATATATAATATTATAGTATTATATAATATATAATTATAATAGTATAATATATAGTATAATATTACACTATAATTATATACATTATAACAGTATAATATCTGAACAGATCCTCAGAGACAAAGCTATAACAACGACGTAAGAAGAACAAAAGTATTTCAAGAAGAAGAAATTTCTCAAGATAGTTTTAAATGAATGGACACTCAATAAACTGTCATTGAATTCACATAATTCAGAATAATTCACTTAAATTAGACTTCTCATTGCTTCTAAGGAAAGTTTGAGAAAACGGTGGACGATATTATTTTTCCAGAGATTTGAAATTATTCAAGTATCATTAACTCTCGTATAAATTTAAATGATATCACATGTTGGAAGAATATAGTCAACAAATTTTCGTGTTGAATACCATTTGAATGATTATTTTCAATGCCATGTAATTTTATTTGAAGTGATAATCGT